TGTTCTTCTCTTAAAATAATTACAAATTGTGTCAAATTATAAAAAAAATTAGACTAAAGTTAATAAATATAAAATTGTTACAATGCATCTTTACAATGAAAATTGTTACTGTTAACAATAACGTTGGTTAATATAATTAAATTCACGATTAACAAAGTACAGAGAATCGCAAACTATAGATTAAAAAAGTACACCCTATATAGGACACCCTACATATTAAAATCATCCTATTAAAAACCCCTTATATATTTAAACAATCTAAAAGTCTGCAAAAAAATAAATACAAAAATTTATTTTATGCTTTCATAGTTAATAACTCATAAAAAATATATTTGTACAATATATAAAAAATATATTTATTAAATTAAATGTATTAAGGTTTCTTTACTAAATTGATTGTCTCAAGATTTGTTAAATTTAATTTATAAATATCTATTTACTGAATGAAATTTGTTAAAAGATATTTAAATTAAAATTATTAAGATTTATTTATTAAATTAAATTTATAAAGATATTTATTGAACGTATGAAGATATACTTATTAAGTTAAATGTGTCAAGATACATTGACAAAAATAAAGTCAAGAATCAAAAAGAAAAAAAAATGTTCGAGATATCATAACTTTAATACAACATAACTGTCAGCCAACCAAAAGAAAAGAAGAAAAAGGACGTTAAACTATTTAGAACTATAGGTAAAACTGAACAGATGGTTGTGAAATGTTAATACACGATCAATATATTCTAAACCGTTATTGCGGCATGAGAGTTAACTTTAGCTGATGGCTTTCGGAAACAATCTTCAGCCATGCTCGCTTGTCTACCACGTTATGCAACAGCATATTACAAACCGTGGTCCAGAAACGACCGGCTGGGATAATTGTACTAACCCCGTTCGTCAAGGCCAACCATTAGCCTCCAGAGTAGGTTAAGAAGATTAAGGGAGGAAATAGAAGAAAAAGGTGTTATCGGATCAAGTTCTAGATTACTCGCATGCAGAGATTTCATTCGTTTAACTACACCGATCAAGTAAATTATTTAACGAGTGAGGGAACGTTTGTTAGCAAAGTTTCGATATAAGTGAATGTTTCGGATTTGATGTTCTGTTTATATCGTGCAGTTCCTACATTGGAAGTTTGCTGAATGTAGAATAGGAAAAGCAGAGGAAATGTCGACAAAGTTTTGATATAAGTGAATGTTTCGGATTTGACGTTCTGTTTACATCGTGTGGTTCTTACATTGGAAGTTTGCTGAATGTAGAATACGAAAGGCAAAGGAAATGTCGACAAAGTTTCGATATAAGTGAATGTTTCGAATTTGACGTTCTACTTACATCGTGCAGTTATTACATTGGAAATTTGCTGAATGTAAAATAGGAAGAGCGAAAGAAATACCAATAATGTTTTGATATAAGTAAATGTTTCGGATTTGATGTTCTGCTTACATCGTGTAATTCCTATAACGAAAGTTTGCTAAATGTAGAATGGAAACAACAAAGGAAATCGACCGTAAACAGACAGTAACGTATCGGTGAGACAATCCCAATGCAAAAATAAAGCTTTTTATTTTTATGAGATTTGTCAATGCATGACAGTATGTGTGTGTGTGTGTGCATGTGGTACGCGAAGTTTGCCGCATGAACAGTGTGAATGCACGTCTTTTGTCTAGTACTTGTTTGCTATTAACACTTTTATTACCGTAAATCAACCCATATTTCTAATAATTTTTTACTTTTTCTTATGAAACTTTTTCATATTTTCTTCATTAACCCTTTCGCTACGGTGTTTTTTTCTGAGAAATGTGATTATGGTCTTATTTATTATAATAAAAAGTCAGATATTCTTATTTATAAAAAGCAAAGCTAAAGCCTTTCTATACAGTTTTTTATCCTTCCTTTATGTACAAAGGATAATACAAATGACAAATGTTATAACACGCCGTCATAACTCTTTTTTATAAAAACTTTTTAATCGCTAGGAAAAAACTCTGTTGGTATAAAAGTGGGCGCCTATAGGTGCTCTCAGTAATACAAACACAAAATTTCTAAGCGCCTATAGGCGCCCACAGTAGCCAAGGGGTTAAAATGAGACCATGCGTAATGTGAATGATATTCACTAGTTTAATTCACGATAAAAGTTGCTAATACAGAATATAGTGACTGAAAAAAGACGCTGCGGCAGTCGGCAAAGGTCAAAAGTTTAATTTTTTTATTTTTAATTCATCTTGTACACAACTTTCTCCTGCATATTCGAGATATTTTTCAGATAAAAATGAGGCCAAACTCGACGTAATTGGAGTCATGTTTACTTGCAATAACTTACTGGAGTAAAGTCCTCGATATAATCATAACTGTACATTTATTTGAAATTACAAATAAATATTTTCCGAGTTACCCGTGTTTAGTCTCATTTTAATCAGAAAAAGTTAAAAATATGTTGGTAAAGATTTGATAAAAAAAAAATCAAAAATAAATGTCTCATTCTGTACTGTACGTCCGATATGTGACTGTTAGTTTACGTTTGGTCTCCTATTCGATGTACGTAAAAATTAATATACGCAAGACTTGCATATATCGAATGATTACTGTATTAGCGCATTTTTGAAATCCGCAAATGGATGAATATCTAATATAAAGATATTTGAAATTTAGAATTTACAAAATTGTAAAATATAGCAATTTTATAATTTAGATATTCTGACGTATAGACATATAGAAACATCGAAATTAAAAATTTTTGACATTCAGAGAATTAGGAATCTGGAAATTCCACTGTTAAGGAATTTAGAAAATTCGGAATTTAGAAATTTAGAAATGAGAAATTTTCAAATCTCTAACATTTTGAAGTTACAAGATTTCAAATTATCGTCACAAATTTTCAGTATCCCAAACTCAGAAACTTTTAAAATCTTCAAATTCACAAATTAAAAAATTATAAATTTACAAATTAAAAAATGTTCAAATTTTAAGAATCATGAAGTTCAAATATGTAAAGTGTAAAATGATGTACAGGTATAAGGGGACTTCCTTTTTTACTGCGAATTCTACGAAGTTCAGAGATATTAATATCAACATATCTGTATTTCAATATTTGACTTGTTAGCAATATTATCAATATTGCAACTCGCAGGTGCATGTCTGACGGATTACGCAAAAGGATTAACGGTAAAACCACGCTTCTGAATCATCTTGCTGATTAAAAACATATATTGATTTATAACGCCATGATTCATACTTTCAAATTCTTTGGTCTGCAAATTCTCATATCCCCAAATACTTTGACCGCAAAATGTCTAGATTTTCAAATTAAAAGGTCCTAAAATTGCTATGTTCTCAAATACAGCGATTCCTAGATACCTGGATTTCCAAATCCCAGGATCTGCAAATCAGTACGTTTACTCACAAATATTTAGGCTCCCAAATCCCTAAATGCATAAATTTCCAACTTTAAACATTTCAAATTTCCAAATGTGCAAATCACCAAATATTCAAGTTCAAATTTCACTATTCTTCAGATATCAAAATCCAAAGGTACCTGTACCTCTAAATCCACAAATCCCAAGGTCCCAACATTTCTAGGCACCGGAATTCTAAGGTTTTAAAATTGATAGCACCCGAAATTCCCAACTGAATAAATTCTAATGACTCAAAATTAAAAAGTCCCCATCTCTAAATACCCAATTTCCAAAAAATGCTAAGGTTTCTCTATTCTTAAATCCCAAGGTACTAATATTCCTAGGTCCCCAAATTCCAAAATCCTAAAATTTTTGGGAATCGAAATCCAAAGATTCCCATATCTCTAAATCTCCCAATTCCAAGATCTCCAAATTTCTAAGTATCGGAATCCTACGTCCAAAAATTCCTATATCTTCACATCATAAATTTCCAAAATTCCTAGGTCCCGAAATTCAAAGATTCCCGCATCTCTAAATTTCCCAATTCCAAGATCTCCAAATTTCTAAATATTGGAATCCTATGGTCCAAAAATTCCTAGGTCCCGAAATTCAAAGATTCCCGCATCTCTAAATTTCCCAATTCCAAGATCTCCAAATTTCTAAATATTGGAATCCTATGGTCCAAAAATTCCTAGGTCCCGAAATTCAAAGATTCCCGCATCTCTAAATTTCCCAATTCCAAGATCTCCAAATTTCTAAATATTGGAATCCTATGGTCCAAAAATTCCTAGGTCCCGAAATTCAAAGATTCCCGCATCTCTAAATTTCCCAATTCCAAGATCTCCAAATTTCTAAATATTGGAATCCTATGGTCCAAAAATTCCTAGGTCCCGAAATTCAAAGATTCCCGCATCTCTAAATTTCCCAATTCCAAGATCTCCAAATTTCTAAATATTGGAATCCTATGGTCCAAAAATTCCTAGGTCCCGAAATTCAAAGATTCCCGCATCTCTAAATTTCCCAATTCCAAGATCTCCAAATTTCTAAGTATCGGAATCCTACGTCCAAAAATTCCTATATCTTCACATCATAAATTTCCAAAATTCCTAGGTCCCGAAATTCAAAGATTCCCGCATCTCTAAATTTCCCAATTCCAAGATCTCCAAATTTCTAAATATTGGAATCCTATGGTCCAAAAATTCCTAGGTCCCGAAATCCAAAGATTTCCACATGTCAAAGTACCCTAATTCTAAGGTTCCAAAATGTCTAGTTACTAGAATTCTAAAGTCCTAAAATTCCAAGATCGTCAAATCCCGAGATCCTAAAATTCCAAAATCACCAAATGCCAAAATTCCAAAAATCTTGAGTTCCGAAATCCCAAGGTCTTAAAATTCTTAAGTCCTTACATCCCAAGAAAATTTGTAAAATTCCTAAAACCTTACTAAATCTAAAGATTTCTAAATTCTGAACCTATTCTGAAATGTTCGAATCCCGAAAAATAAACGAATGGAGGAACTTTCTTGATATTCTGCCACATTTTCCCTAAAGAAGGCAGATTTTAGTGTTGACTGTACGAAAGAGAAACCGGTACGAAGGTCGGGAACTCACCTGTCGTTACATTTCAAGGCCGCGTGGCTCGGACTCTTCGGAGGCTGAGGATTACTTGCAGCTGCCACTGTAAGCTGAGAGCCGGTAATCGGCTGTTGGCCAGCTTGTTGCGCTCCAGGAGCTACTTGAAGAGGCGTGCTGGGCGCCGATCGTGCTCCTATGGACCCCGCAGACCTGAACAAACAAAAATTTTGCGATTACACCCTTATTTCATCGACCACTCTTTGTTTTGCCGGAGAAAATTAACCTCTTACATTCGAAGGTGATTAGGGACTGTCTACACAATGCCAGTTAGGGATTATTTACACTATACCAGTAAACCGTGCTAGTAGCATTGTCCATAAGTAGTCGAATTATTTCGTTTGTTACTTTGTTTGGACCAGGTCCTAGAAAGAGAAGGTTGTTCCCAGGTCGTTAGAAAGAGAAAATGGTTCCTTATCTTTCTAGTCTTCTTTTTCTAACGATAGACCTGGTACAGACAAAGTAATAAACGTAAAAAAATACCTACTGGCACGTGATACTAGCAGGACATACTGACCGAGTGTAAATGGTCCCTAACTCGTGCTAGTAGCATTGTCAGTAGGTAGTTGAATTTTTGCGTTTCTAACTTTGCCTATGTCATATCTGTCGTTAGAAAAAGAAGACAAGAAAGAAAAGAAATGATTTTCTGTTTCCAACGACAGATCTGGGACTGACAAAACTAGAAACGCAAATATTCGACTAGCAAGGCTATATTACTAATATAATGCAATGCTATTAGCACCAAATTCTGGCATAGTGTAGACAGCGTCTTAGTGTGGGGTTCGGATATGCTAGGAAACATTTTATATATTCGTAGTAAAAGTAAAGATTTAAGGGAAGAAGACTTCATCAATTGTTTTGACGCATTCGATGCAGAGTAAAAATCATGAATATTAGTTAAATGAATTAAGTAAATATTGAAATTTCGAAATATTTAGAGTTTCTAAAATTTTGAAATCTTGAAACACTCATATTTTTCAAACAATATGTTAATAATAATTATGTTTATTTAAATTGCAAAATTAAACTAAACTCATTCTTCGGCAGTAAAGTGTTATATAGATCAAAAAACATATAACAAATATTTTTGTGATACTATTGCTATAAATAGTAAACTAGTGCTTAAATAATCACAAGTGAATTTTTGAAATAAGCTGAAAGGGTGAAATATAACATCTTTATTGCATAATTTCTCAGTCAAATAATTGAATCTTGCATTTATAACACGGAAACAGTGACATAGAAAATATTTATAAAGTTAATGTAACAAAATGAGTGGAAAAGTATAAATGAAAAAAAGAAAATTTAACATGATGTAAAAAAATAGTTTATTGCTAAATATATTATTTTTGTGTTCACCCGTAAATCCTGACAACCACAACCCTGACACCTATAATCCTGACAGCCCAAAATCCTAACTAACCTAACCTAATCTCTTAACTCCATATGACGAATATACTCGTCATTTAAAACCCCGCTTGTAATGACGAGTATACTCGCGAAATCAAAAAATACATAAAACTAAGCTAACCAAACTTAACATAATCTGTTAACTACGTTTGATGAATATATTCATCGTTTAAAACACTGCCTACGGTGTATTCGACGAGTATACTCGACATTGTAGCTGTTAGAATTTTAAGTTATCGGGATATTACTTGTCGGAACTTCAGCTGTCGAGATTTTAGCTATCGGGATTTTAGCTGTCGAGATTTTAAGTGTCACCGATTATTCCTATTATGTTTTAAATACACATTACTAACAACATTATTAAAAAACATATTATATTACCAAATATACATTCAGTTAACAAGTTAAATAAATAATTATTGTTTCTTGTTGAATCTAACAATTAAATGTTACTACCAATAACATATAGCTCATTTTTTATCAATAAAAATATAAACAAAGAACAGTTAAGATTTATTGCTTGCCATTGCTATCAATATCGCAATAACTTAATCTGGCATCAACCAAGACATGAATAAACGTTTTATTGCCTCAACTCTTGTTTTACAATCGTTGATATTTTTTAACCTCCGAGCTGATTGTATCGAGCAATAATTTATTTAAGAAACTTCAAAGGTCCAATTATATTAAATTACAAGTTATGCATAAGTTATTTATGCAACTTGTTTGAATATTATTGTACAAACACGATAACAATTATATCACTTTTAAATTGTTTCTAAAATTCCATAAAAGAAAATTTTTGTGTTTTAAAAATTCTAGTGCATCAAGTTTGTATTTACTGTTATTGGCATTTTCAGCCAATACCGAATCAGTTTTGATAAAATTCTGTGAATTTATTGTTTATTACGTATATTACATACGATATTGACAAGTTAACACTTATTTTTTAAATGAATTTACGACTTTGTACATAGATCAATTATTCGAAATATTTTGCGTAAAAAAGCATTAGAGTGCAATATCAAAGCATAAAACATTTATCGAATATTTAAAATTGAAAAATATTTCGTTCAAATAGTTAAAATATTTCATTTATTCCAGACATTTTAAATATTTCGACAGAATTATGTGAAAAGCATATATGTAGTTATATCTAATAATAAAGGTGAGGGTTTTAAAAATATTTATAACTTCACCACGTATAAAAGATTCAATTGTTAATTATAATACATTTACGTAATTAATCATTTTCATAACGTGTAGTAACATTTATATGCAATGTAAGATCACCGTGCAGTACCTCACAATTTTTAAATGCAGTATTTGTATAATTTTACAAATTAATGCAAATTTCAATATGTGTCAAAAACGATTTAAACAGTTTTGCAAGTTTGCTGTTCGAGTTCTTTTTGTACAGAGAGTGCAAAGTGTACTGAAATTTGAATAAATTGCCTTAAACATATAACAAAGACGAATTTATTGCTGGAAGTGAAATTGAAAAGAGATACAGATCAAATAAATTTTAAACATACCTAGCCCTGCTGACCGGACTCGACGAGAAGCAAAAATCGATCAAACCTCGCGTTTCGAACTCCATTTTCCTATCCGTTTCTTCCAGCGATTAGTGTTCTAAATGCAAGTATATCTTAAATACGATTTCTTCAAGTTCGTAGGAATCCAGTATCAATGACGGTTTTCCAGTTTCCCGAAAATCGAAATGAACTGAGATTCATCTGAACCAACAACAGCGTGCTGTGTTAGTGGAAAATAATTTGAAGAAAATCGAAACAGTGCGTTCACACTCAATTTCGAATCGTGAAAACCGTGATTATTAAAATTAAATCTAGATGAACGTTGCTCCTCACTCTTACAAAAAAAAAAAACAATTTGAAGAATTATTCGGGAAAATAAAAAGCAATAAGGCTAAGACCTTATCGTTCACCTCTAAAAGGTGTTGAAACAGTTCATCGATCACTTTCGTTTTTCACTCCCAAGTCGAGAATCAAAAGAGAGAATAATTGATTGCAACCCAACGAAGATAAGAGAAATCAGTAGACAGAATGAAATATCGTCGTCCAGCGACAATAATGAATGTCCATTATCCGTATACAACTTGTAGAATCACGAAAGATTAATAGTAGCCACGTTCATATCGATGTTTTTTGAGGATCACCCTAGCCGAGGATCGAAATTTCGCTCCCAAAGAGCTGAAGGCCAATCTGGCGATGAAGAAGATGCTCATTTCTAATTGTTAACAAGAATTTTTTAGATCGTTCAGAATACTGGAAGTTACAAAATGATGAAGATGAGCACAGTTGAAGAACCTGAAGAGCAACGTGTTTCCGAGTCATCCACGGACCAGCCGGGAAATCAGACTGACGACAAAACTGACGCTAGAACTCGACCTAACCCTCGATGTCCTTTCAACCTTTTTCATAATTAATGAACGCACTGTACGTGAACAGTTTTATCTATACCCTCCGAAGTGAACATATCTGAGAAATAACTGACGGTGGAAGAACGATCGAACCGGAAGTCGTGCATTGAATGGAAAGTTTTAAAAGCGAATAGAACAGCTACTGTTGCTTCTAGTTTCGATCGAAGCAGTGTATGACCTATGTAGACCTTCTTACGTAATATGTAATGCACTTTTTTTCCTTAACGCGAATGATGCGGGTGCAGGGTCGGCGGGAACGTTTTATGGGCCCTCGGTACAATATTTACAGGCTTAAATGAAGTAGAAGTATAGTAGGGTAATTTCAATTTATCATAACAATTTATGTGTTGAGATAATTCTAATTTATGATACAAAATAAAGGTATGTAGTAAGATAGTTTTAATTTATAATAAAGAGTGAAGTAATGTGGTAAGATAATTCTAATTTATGATAGAAAATGAAGTTATATGGTAAGATAACTTCAATTTACATGTGAAAGTAGCTTCAGTTTATTTTAACATGAAGTTACGTATTTTTAATTTATTTTAAGGAAAATTTACATGTGAAAGTGAATTTGATCTGCTTTAAAGTGAATTTGGATGGCAAGATTTTATTTTATCTTCAAGTAAATTTACATGTTACAGAATGTTGATTTATTTTAAAGTAAAATTTATATGTTCAGATAATTTTATTGTATCTTCAGGTAAATTTACATGTTGCAATAATTTTGATTTACTTCAAAGTAAAATTTATATGTTAAGATAATTTTATGTTATTTTGAGGTCAATTTACATGTTACAGTAATGTTGATTTACTTCAAAGTAAAATTTATATGTTCAGATAATTTCATTTTATCTTGAGGTCAATTTAAATGTTACAGTAATTTTAATTTGACTTAATAATTTTTAATTTTGGTGTCTCGAATTAAATCAATGAGAATATTTATCAAGAAAGTTCATATTTATACAAATCGATTTGAATTTTCCCACCACCTGAGGTCAACTGATCTCCTCTAATCAGAAGATTTGTTTCTTCCTGTTAAGATTAGTATAACAGTAACCAAACAACAACACGGTTTTCTATCACTCCTTGGAGTATCGCTAAAAAACATAAGAGTATAATAAAAGATTACTGTATAAAGGCCTCTTGTGTACTTATCTGTCACGCATGCGCATTAGTACAATAAGTATATTGTCACCATCTTGTGGCACTCGTTCGATTAGAGAATAATAATACCTACATGCATCACATGTGAATGTTCGTATGCATATTTACATTATAGCAGGGTTATATAATAAATCAA